ATATGTTTGAGTCTGCCTGAATGTTCATCTCCACAGCATTGCATTTACATCAGTATTCCATTTGGTGAAACACTTCACATGTGCTGTAGATGATTTTACCTGCTTAATTATCCGTGTGGAGTTTTTCATAAACAAAATAGAGTCAGTTCCAGGACACCTGTGACCTTTACAATGTTTAAGCCCTCAGGCTCAATGGGCATATAAACTCAGGTTTACATGTCCTAGTTCTGCCCCCTACTAGTGGGGTGTCCTCACATTTCTCATCTCTAAAGTGGGCAGAATTCTAATATTTATCTCTCAGGCTTGTTGTGACAATTAAATCAGAGACTGTGTGTACCACCTGTAGCAAAAAGCAAGCATTCGAACGTTAGGTGGTATTATTTATTGGTAGTAAACTCTTAACTGTAGGATCTTTTCCAGATGTTTGCCAAGAAGCCTAAATTAGCCTCTGGCAATAGCAGTTAGAAATCATTCCAGGCATGGCTAGTATTTTCTCCCTGGAGGAATAGTTAAGAAAATAACTTCGAGAATAACGCAGAAATTTTTAGACCTGTCCAGAGAGAGGGAAAAGGCTTTTTCCTTGTTGCTCCAGAGACAGAATTAGTAATAATGAAGGCAGTTTCCAAGGCAGTAAGTTTACATTCTGTGTACGGAATAATTCTCCCTCACAGCTCCTTAGTACAGAATTGACTTCCTTGCAAGCTCACAGAATTATTCCTACAAAAGCTTGATATCACATCAGGTAGGAGGTATTAGAACACTCCCTCTTCATTAGTTAATAATGCTGTATGAATCTAGGTTTTATCACCTATGTAAAACTTTAACTTCACAGTTGATGATTAAGTTATCCAAGTTCTTGTTATATTATTGTAAGTTGAGTTTAGCTGTGCCGATTGAAAGGTCAGTTTTCACATTGCACTGTGTCCCTATACAGGCTTCCAATGATCTTATAGTCTTTGAGTGTAAACATTCGCCTTTGTTAATTCCATTTAAAGTGACAGAAACCAATTAAGAAAATATTAGATAAATATGTTCATCTGTTGCAGTTTTGGTACCCTGCAAATATAATTCCATACTACTAAGTAGGCTCCTAAATCAAAATATGAAAACTAGTTAATACGTTCTTTGATACTACTAGCTCTGAGGCTAAGAATTTTTTTTTTTCATTATTTTTGAACATGGCTGTCAAATTATCTGAGGCTGCGGTGCTATCTCCACCCTATTTTTAACAACGGATTTGGGTATGTAAATTACAACTTCCTTTTTCCTCCCTAGGTCATCCAGTTAGTCCCATTTGAAGGGAATGAATGAAATGAATGTTTCAACTGTCTTGATGTTGTTAATTACTTTGTGAGACATTTCATAACAGGAAAGTCTTTGGCATGCAGTGAGTGGCTTGGAATATTAACATCTTCAAGGACATTAGGTGCTCAGTGTTTGTTTAAAGTGGTTGCAGAAGAGAGTAAAATAATACCTTTTTTTTTTGTTTTTTTCATAAAATGTATCTCTATGAGGAAGGGTATGAAGGACAGACAGCAAATTCTTGGTAGCGTTTTAGGTTTGAAACAGGAATTTCAAGAAATGCTTTAATGCTTTCAAGAAAGCATTAAAAAAATAAATTTATATATTTTATTTATTTTTGGCTGCATTGGGTTTTCGTCACTGTGCATAGGCTTTCTCTAGTTGCAGTGAGCGGGGGCTGCTCTTCGTTGCGGTACACAGGCGTCTCATTGCAGTGGCTTCTCTTGTTGCGATGCGCGGGCTCTAGGTGCGCGGGCTTCAGTAGTTGTGGCTTGCGGGCTCAGTAGTTGTGGCTCGCGGGCTCTAGAGCGCAGGCTCAGTAGTTGTAGCGCACAGACTTAGTTGTACCGCGGCATGTGGGATTCTTCCGGACCAGGGTTTGAACTCGTGTCCCCTGCATTGGCAGGTGGACTCTTAACCACTGCGCCACCAGGGAAGCCCCTCACGAAAGCATTTTGGTAGTACGGTTTGCATCCGTGATGGTCATAAGAAAATTCTGAAAGTGGTTTTTCATCTATTGCATACTTGAGCCTATATTTGAAGCTAAGTACGCCAGGAAGCCTGCCAGCTGTCTCCCTGTGACAGGCAACATTCTTAGACCAGTAACAACTGGGCTTATTAGGAGGAAAGGAGGAGGAGTCCAGAGGATTTCCATGTACCTGAAAGTTAAATTAGCAGGATTCAAATTTTATGTACCAAGATATGTAAATCAATTTGTGCCACATTTTATTTTATGCCTCACAAAAATTAAAAAGCTTGGCTACTATGAACCCAAATATTACTTTGAGCTAGTAAAGTAGTTTCATTTTGATTGACACATTGTGATTTATTTGTTATTAAACAAATGGAGAGACTATAGTCAGGCAAAGATATAACTTAATCATCATTTTGGTTAAGACTGGACAAAAGCTCCCTGTATCATAAATTGTCTCATGAGAGCTGGCAGTGCTCATGGCTGTCAACAGGCATGTGTGACACTGACTGAGGATATAGCAAAGGAAGAAGGAAAAATAGAAAAATAAAGAAGATAAAAAGGAAGTCCAGGGAAGTAAGGGAAAGGATAGTGTGGGATGGAGAGAAAAACAGAGAGTAAAGAGTTTTTAAAAGCTAGAGTGTATGGCCTACCAGTAATTGTAGAAGGTAGTGATTCTTGGTTTTGTTTTGTTTTGTTTAAATCTCAGAGCAGCTATGTAAAAAAGAAGGGTGAATGTGGGAACATTAATCATTTTTCCACATAAAGACATTAAAAAGAAATCATACACTCCAGTCAACTTACCTTTTGCCTCTCTTTCTGTGCTTTTCATCTTGCCTGAACTGGTAAACATCGCATCATAGCATCATACTGGTATGTCCGTGGGAATCACTTGTCTAATATTACCAATTTAACTAAAAAAAAATTACTGTACTTTCTAAGGACACATTAAATTCATTCAGTTCTTTACCAGTTAGCATTCACTGAACACCTACTATGTGGAAGGTAAGTTAGATGTGGAAGGCCCAGAAAGGAATGACAGGGGGACCAGAGGGAATGGTGTCTGGCAGAAGAGATGGAGAGACTTGTGTGGGTAAGGGAGCAAGAATGTTCAGTACTGTACACAAAGGTTTGGAACTGGTTCTGTTAGCAATGGGGAACCAGTGGAAGTTTTATGGGGAGACATCAGTAGGGCTGTGCTTGGGTGTGCTAATAATGTGCCATATAATTTAGGGGAGGAGGCAAGAAAATGAGTTAAAGGGTTGTTGTAAGATTGGAGTTAAGATCGAATTACAGGGTACAGAGAGGATTTAGGTAGTGGGGACAGAAAGGAGACAATGTGTAGAGCCCAGTGGAGGTATTAGATGATAGCAAAGGTTGACCAACTAATTGTGGAGTGGGGAGGGAGGAAGCTGTAATAAACTCTCTTTTAAGAAGACTTGTAAATGGGAGTTCACAGCAGATACCAAAGAGGATTTAAAAAAAATACTTTTTGGATACCTTAAGAGTGTGTAAGTATGAATAAAGTATTTATTTCTCATGATCATTTTAAATAATAAAAAAGTACAAACAGTATGTTTATGGAATGATGATGGTGAAAACTTATTTATGAGGAAGTTTAGATACAAATACTGATAGACCGTAAAAACCAACAACAAAAACCACTTCCATTCAGGCTACTAGGTATATAGAGGAATGTAGAATTTTTTAGAGGAGAAAGGACGGAAACATCTCTTATATTTTTCATAATTTTTGCGCTTGTTTCCTTATCTGCAGGACAAAGAACAGGATGGTGGTTAAAAAGAATGGAATTTAGCCTAGAATTCTGGGCAAATCTAGCTTCTGGCACAGAACAATTGTGTTATCTTAGACAAGGTACTTAATCTGCCCCTCAGCCTCACTTTCCTGCAGATGAGAATGATACCCGTGTTATAACGTGTGTTTGTGTGTGAGAGAAACAGATGGAGAGGGGAGGGGGAGAGGAGGAAGACAGAGAGAGAGAGAATTCAACTGAATTGAATGAGATAATACATGTAAAACACCTGTCAGAGAGAGCCTGGCATATAGTAAGTGCTCAACAAATAATAGTAAGTACTTTTTTTTTTTTTTTTTTTTTTTAATTCTCAGCAGTGCCATTTAACAGTTTTGGTAGATGGGTCTCTTTTTGGTACTGAAGGGTATTTTGTTAAAACAAAAGGTAAACTTGGCATTTGCTATGTGAAAGAAGATGGTATTCTAGGTACACATCTTTTTTATGAAGACATTTTAAACTCAACACAACAGGTAGCCTTTCTCTATTTTTTAAAAAAATATTTATTTATTTAGGCTGTGCCGGGTCTTCCTTGCAGAGCGCGGGCTTAGTTGTGGTATGGGGGATCTTAGTTCCCTGACCAGGGATTAAAGCTGGGCCCCTGGCCTTGGGAGCTCGGAGTCCTAACCACTGAACCACCAGGGAAGTCCCCAGGAAGCCTTTCTTGTCACCTGTATGGCACAATTTTGCTGGGCAGGTTGATTGGGTTTTGCTGTGGTTAATTTTAACGCTGACCTTGAAGGGACTAAGAAGAGCCCTTACTCCCGTTACGTGAAGTAGCAGAAATTACCAGATGGAAACAGGAATTAAGGGAAAAAAAGGCTCTGCAGTAATTCATTGTTTCCTAACCAAGACGGCTTGTGCTTACAACGTTGAGAGGCGGCTACAACGTGGCTGTTTAATCAGATCAGAATAACTCGGGGGTGGGAGCAACTAGTACCCCCGCCACCCCCCACCCCTTAACTGCAGCCTTTCGGACTGGGGTTGTCCCCGGGCTTTGGCCACGCTCTGAGTCACCGGTCTCCCCCTTGGAGAGTCGGCGGGCCCCCGCCGGAGAGGCCCCGCCCCTCCCTTGTGAATCGCTGGCCTTGGTGGGAGGAGCCGGCCGATGCTAATGAGCCGAGTTGCCGGGAGAGCCAGGAACTTCTTTCCCCTCCGCTGTGTCAGGATCGCAGAAATTATGCCCCTTCTCTCACCATGAGCTGGCTCTCCAGTTCCCAGGGAGTTGTGCTCACTGCCTACCACCCCAGCGGCAAGGACCAGGCCCTGGGGGGGAACCATGGCAAGGGTGGGGAGGAAGCCACCACGAGGTAAGCCCGGGCACCTGAAAGCTAGAGAACAAAACAAAGCCCTCTTACCTGCTCCGGGGAAAAAAGTGACAGGGAAGTTAGTGTGGGGAGAAAGGAACCAAAAGCCACAGGTCGCGCTAACCTCGTGCAGCAGCAGAAATCTTTGGCTGGGGTTTTCTGTACTTTGTACCTCACCTAATCCTGAAACCGCCTCTATGATGACTGGTGAAGACGGATAGGAAGGAACTGGGGCGATGGCTGTCAGGCTCCTTGCTCAGCAGGTGCATTTGCAAATGCTGAAAGATCAAATAACTATATTTGAAACACTTCCTGTGAGATGGAATTCTTGAATGGGCTCAGGGCCCAGCCACTGGAACTGCTGCTTGGGAACGGCGCCAGCAAGCAGGAGGGCTGTTCGCTGTATTCTACAATCTGCTGTTGTTACAGTGTGATTCTTTCCCCCCTTCTTCTGGCTGAAAGCAAACTTCTTAGGCAGAAAGCCTAAGACACTGGCCTGGGGCAGTAGGTTTCACATTCTTTGGCGTATGTAGATTGTTTGTTGGTGGGGGAGCTTTCAAAAAGGTTTTGTCAGGAAGTGGTACTCTGCTGCTAGAGTGACCTGTGGTTAATGCTAAATCACTTTATAGGCAGACAGGGCGAATGTTCTATAGACCACTGAGGCGCAAAGAGTACCGTCTGTCTGTGTACTTTGTTCTGTTTTTCCAAGCCTTTTTTTTTCCTTAATGACCTTCTCACTAGCTGAACATTTTTACCTTCTGTCTTAGATAGAAATTGTAAATATTGCCCTAGAAGCTTGTAAACAGCAAATGCTAACCTAATAGGGTAGGATACTAAATTAGTTATCAGTAAGCACATTTCCTCCTTGATGTTTAATGTGATAATAAAACTTTCTTTGTTCTTTTGTGACTTATGCTTATGCCTTAAGCTGGAATAATGCCTTCTTTCATTTGTTTTAAAATCCCCAGATGTGGAGGAGGGGAATAAAAATCAAAGGAATGGCTGTAATACCCTGCGCTAGATTCCCGGGCTGACCAGAATTTTTTCTCACATTGCAACCACCATATGTATTCCATTGACTTAATTCATTTCCAAAGATAAAAGGGATTTGCTGCTTGTGCTTTGGATGGGTTATCATTTTATTTTGTGTGAGAGGTCATAAAGTGTTTTCATCCATTTTTCTGTAGCACACTAACAAGATAGTAACCTTTGAGCAGTAAGCAGACTGCAACGCCAACCCCTTACTGTCTGTAACTTGGACTCCACTTGACGGTCAAAATGGCCAGAATTATGCAGACTTAGCACATTCTCCAGAGACTTTACTCTGGGATGGCCTGAGGATCTGAGCTGAATTTTGGGTCTTGATTGTGAGAGTGAAAAGAACCTTAGGGACTTTGAGTCCTGACCTCTCATTTTTACCTTGAAGCCTCAAACCTCAGGGGTTAGGCTGCTGCAAGGTCTGTTGTTGTAGGGCTTTGCCTGGGGCTGCATATTGAGATATGGAGCCTTTATCCATGTTTGCGGTTTTGCAGCCTGTTGTGGGTGGCCTGTACTTGAGTGGATTGAGAGAACAAAAGAGAGGAACAGCTCATTCTCAGCCTTGGCCAGAGCAGGATCATTCTCAACCTAGGTTAACGCTCGAGAGGGTGTAGGGTGGGCAGTTGCTCATACAGTGAGTGCACTCCATGGAGTGGTAGCGCCAGACCTGTTCCCAAGTGCCTCCCCCACTGGCTGCCATATTGCTTGCCCATACTGGCCCCAAATTCCTACCACTGAATTAGAGTCCTAGGCTGGAGAAGATGGGAGCCTTGGTTTGAGGGCTGGAGGTGGGAAGGAGAGAAAAGGGACAGTCCTTATTGGCTTTTACCCTTAAGCACGGAAATCATTTATCAGATGAGCTTAGTGTTTCTTTGGGAGGCAAAGAAACCTTTAGCCTGGAGAGGTTGAGATATTGCTATTGGGGCGGGAGGGGGGTGGTGGTGGGAGGAGGGATTTGAGGGTGGGATGGGATCAGGAGCCATCCTTTAAAGATGGTGGTGAGGGGGCGGGGCACAGGGCTTCAGCTCTGGCCCGAGGTTGTCAGCTTGTACTTGAAGCATTGGCAAGCTGCCCTGAGGTGCAAGTTTGGTGGTTGATGCCTATTTTAAAAAGCTCTTCAAAAGTCAAAACCAAACCAAAACAAACAAACTGTGAAAAAGAGACAAAAGTTAGACTCTTGTGTTCCCATCCACCTCTTTAGCAGTTGTTGAAGGGAGCACAGAAGTCTAATTTGGCTTATTGCAAGACTTGGTCTCCTAAATAATATGCACTTTGATGAACTACTTAATCAAATGTTTAGTTCAATAAGATGAACTCATGTATATGCTATTTGAAAAGTATAAAGGATTATGTATATGATTTAGGATATTTATAGAAAGCATTTGAGTTTTAGCCCTATGTTACCAGGTCCTTTTTTTTTTTTTTATTGTTGTTTTGGTCTTTGGGGAAGCTGCGATAGTAGGGAATTAATATTTTTGTAAGTTATCTGTTAGTCTAAAATTCCCTCCATTCCATTCCATTATCCCTCCTTATCAGGACACATTCGTTGGATACCTGATTAAGGAATTCTTCCTACTCATGGTTAGACCCTCTCAAATATTTACAGAATTCTGTTTTCAATTTTTTTTGTTATATTTCTTCTTGAAAACATTAGGATTTGAAGAAATATGCTAACATTAGTTGTTCTGACTGACTTGTGCATAGTCAAATATTTCCAGAGGAAACCACTTTTTATGAGTAGCTATATTTATAAGACTTTATTTACTTGTTAATTTTCAAGTAGGTTTCTTAATGTTTACTTTTGCAAAGCAGTTTTTCAAAGAATACTGCATTTTGTCTATTCTTACTGTTTTCCCTCGACTTCCCCGTCATTTTAAGAAAAACTATTCTGTTTGCTTCCTATCAGTTTTTGCTAATATTTGATAAATATTAATGTCAAATGGTATTTTTCTTATTAAACCTTTGAACTCTAGTTTCGTCTGAGATACTTTTATGTCTTCTATGAGTAAATGTATAGCATTCATCATGTAAGATCTTGTTTTGTTGACCCCATTTGCCATTGGTGTTGGGCAAGCAGAACCAAGAGGCTTGGTTTATGTCATGATGACATAAATCCTGAAAATCTGGGCTCGGGGGGCCAGCCTGCGTGGGTTTTACATCCCGATTGATTCTCCCACTCATTCTCAGTGTGGCCTTGGAAGGGTTATTTAAATCTCTACCTATAAATTGAACTCCCTATTAGTGCTCACTTCACTGAGAGGATTAAGTGCAATGATCCATGTAAAGCCCATAGAACAGTGCCTGGTTTATGGCTAGCTGCTGCTTGCTTTCACACTAGATACAGAAAAGGAAAGAACTTATCGAGCTTTGTGGCATATCACATGTTCTTCCTCATTTCAGAAGCATTTTCACAAATATCATTTTGTCACATGTTAAGAAACATGGGCATGATCCTTATGCTTAACTAAAAATGGCATAACTGAAAATTAACCATTATGTAAAAGTTCAGGCCTGGAAGAGGGCTGCCATCTTCTCATGTCTTTCTTTTACGTGAATTTACAGCATTTAAAAAAACCTATGTACTGTATCATGAATAGAGTTCTTTCCTTCTGAATTTGTGTGTTATCTGAAATTTTATATATTTTTGGTGAAGGAAGGATGACGAAGAGTTGTTATATTGCAATTATGTCATAAGCGAACGACTGTTTCTTTTTATTTTTCCTAGCCTTATCATTGAAGGCGTGATTCCTCATTCTAATTTTGCAGGAGTTACTGACCAAATACATTTTAACCTGTCCATATGGATAATTGTTTTCTAGATCAATCTAGTCCTCCATGTGCTGGCATAAGAGTACTTTCTAAAAACTGATTTTCTTTACTGTGTCGTTTAGAAGCCCTATTCATAATTTTCTCTTGAATTGTTAAAAGACACACCCAGTATTCTAACTGGGCAGGTCTTACCTTTATTTAGAGTTATGTGATATTTGCCTTTTAACCGCCCTCACCTGTGAGGCATGTGAGTTTTGTGGGCCTGTTTAAAGTTATCTTCATGGGACTTATATTAGGTGTATGCCTTTCAAGTATAAGGATTTATAAATCTCAAGAACCCCACCTTCTTAAAAACAAAAAAAACCCCAAAAAACCTGCTGAAAACTTTCCTGGTCTTCCACGGTGCACTTACTTCTTTCATCATCCGCCTTTGTTTTTCTTTTCTAACGGGGGCTAGTGCTTATTTCAAGGTTTATGATTGCTGTTTTGGTGTTTTAAGTTCTTAGTACTTGTCTTGTTTTTGAGAGTGTTGCAGCATGACGAACTCACAAAAATTGATGCGTTTAACAATGCACATGATGGCTTCTGGATTGCCTTGTAATTAGGCCTGAAGAGTTTTTAATAATTGGTCCACCAAAATGAATTATTTTTTTCTCTTGTTTTAAAATTCCTCATTATCTGTACACCTGAGTATCACCAGGTGTACACCGGGTTAGAAAAAGGACCCAGCATCCTAGAGGCCAAGGCCACACTTGTGTCAAGTGGAAGTTCCCTGTGCTCTGTGGTCATGGATCTGTGAGGTCTCACTCCCTTTGGTGGCCTTTGCTCTCCTACATCTTCTTGATTTGAATGCTGCCCAAAGGTCCTGAGAAGCCTCTCTACTTGTCACCCTTGTGGTGTCCCTGTGAGAGAGCTTGGAACAGCAGAAACTTGAGGCCTCCAGGCTGTTGCTTGGGTGGTGATGGGGTAGAGGATGGGAGTGGGCGGAGTTAGCAGCATGGTCTCCAAGCTTGGTTTGGGGAAGAAGGTGTGCTAGGCCGGCTGTGATGCGCGTCCTTTCCTGAACTCTCTCCTTTAGGTGATGACTGTCCTGACCTAAACCTTTCACTTTATACAAATACTCCGAGATGAGATGAAATGGTTTGTCGTCAAAGTTTTAGTCAGTATTGATCTTTAATGACTTTGTTTTACTTTTG